AAATGATGGACTTGCGCCCTAGTTTCAGAAAACGCTTGGACTTGCGCTCTTATGCACATTGCTGTCCAGTGCCAACTATAATAGATAATCTGAAACCGTTTTGACTGGGGTGTGTATCATACAGTATAGGTTCTAGAAAGCAGTAGAACACATTTTCGCCAACTTGTGGACTTACGTCCCTTTGTCAGATCATCAGTGATTTGAGCTACAGCGCCCAGATTTTGCAGGTAATTATCTTTCAATTAGTACTTTCCCTAAAAAAATATTTGAACCAAATCAATGGGGTTCACCAAAAGGGGCCTAGGGTCGCTACCCCCTCTCCGGACCCGTTTTTGCGACCCTAATCGATTTCGTTCAAATTTTCTACAAGTAAAGAACGTGCTAAATTATGATTTCCCTCAAAATCTGGGCGCTGTAGCTCAAACGGTTCTTGAGATACGTGCATGTAAAGTTGATAATCAGGCTAAAAAGTTTGGCGAATTTTCAATTAAATTCGCGTAAAACGACCTTCAAACTCCCTACGGGCAGCTAAAACTAATACAAAACCTACTCTAGGGATGAAAACGATAACACTTTGCAGCGCCATTGAAATCTTAGTGTATCACCGGAAAACCTTCCCTTGTAAGGAGTACAATTGTCCTCATTATGATAATCGCCAAAAGTTCACCCTACGAGGAGGTTGTGGTCGCCTTAATGAGGACAATTGTACTCGTCCTAAGGTTACTTCGATACCGCTCCACGACGTCTCGTCCTCCTTGAGGTGTCTCTCCGTACCCCACGCACGGCGACTATTGTCCTCCTTCGAGAGGTATCCTTGTCCATGCCCGCGGACGCGGTTCCGAAAGGTGTGTACTTCCCGCGAAATGTTACAGAATGTCTATGGCAAAAGTTGGCCCAAAAAATATTTTTCAGTTTTTTTTGTCTGGCTTGGTTTACTCTCTGGCCTAGGCCAGCCTTGGCCCCTCATACGACGTAGTGAGGCCCTCACGGCCCCTCACATCACTAACTTGGTAGGCTGTCCTCATGGTTGGTTCGGTTACTACACAGCCGCTAGATACGCGTGTTGCTGGCAGTGCCGGGAATAGAACATCGGCCATGCCAACATAGCTCTCATGCATCGTTCGTAACTTTCTGAGCCAACGCGGGCCGTGGCACATGGGGGCGAGCGTTGCCGGCGGTGCAAGACATTCCAGCCTTTGGCTCTCTCTGACCTGCCTCGTCGCCGGGGACGGGCAGGGTAAAATAGGGGGGGGGGGCGCAGCCTGCCAGCGCGCGCCTGCCCAAAGGGAGCAGTGCGGGAGGACTTACGAGGACGAATGAAACCCTAAAGGGGTACAATAATACTGCTGCTGGGAGTACATGTGGAACCCTGAAGGGGGGCTTGTCACGGGTGCAGCGGCCCCGTGCCCTTTGCGCCTGCCACTTAGGCAACCCATCTGCCTTCCTCTCCTCTCCGGCGACGCTCCGCCACCGGCCCCCTCCACCAGCTGTAGCTAGCATCCGACAGCCGTCGCCTGCCCAGCAGAAGACTTCGGGGGACGGTCGATTGCGGACATCTCTGGGTCCGGAGTGTCGGAACGGTCGATTG